TAGTTGAAAGTTGAAAGGTGAGGAGTATAAAATATAAGCTACAAATGCCATGGCACACAAATAGATAAAAATACCAAAATACATGGGGAGATACAAAATGCACACATACAAATTTTAAAACACAATTCCTTATCTTAAAGTGAAAGAAAGAGGAAGGAAGAAAAGGTAGAAGAGGAAAAACATCCAAGGAGGGGAGAGCAACTGCAGGCAAGTGGAAAAGGGGCTTTCTGCTACAAATCGACCAAATCCAAAGCGAATACTAGCTGCTTCACACAGGCCTAGTGGGCAGCCTCCTGCCTAATTAAGACACCAATTATTGAACAAAAGGCATGGCAGGAGAGAAAGGCAGGCAGTTAGCCCATGAGCAGGCGAGCGGGCCTACTCCTCATCAGCCCTGGGAAGGTCCCCTGTTACAAGGACCATACAATGGTTTATAGTTCACTTAATTAAGCCATGAATGAGGTGATTTGGATGCAAGGATGTCAGTAACAAAACAGAGAGAGTCCTAATTTGGCATGATACATCACTGGTTAGAACAAAAGGAGATAAACTGTCCAAGTTTTTGCTTTATGATAAAATCTATTACTTTTTATTGATTTCTTCTGAGTAACACACTAACTAGCATGTAGGTGGAAGATGTAGGCTGTAATCCTGGCCCCACAATAATATCAGTGAAAGTGGGGAAATGATCAATGAGATTTTGCCCTTCTCACATCTCACCCCAAATGTGAATACAGTAACAAAGCTAGTAAGACTTGATGATGTAACCTACTAACATAGAATGAGTTTATTTTAATAGCTTGACCAGAACTGCAGCTAAACAATACTCATCAAGTTATTTGCTGTTTTCTCCCAAATGTGAAGATGTGTTCCTTGGCAAAATAATCAGGATGTTGAACGGGATCGTGAGGTTTCCATGCCTATATAAAATGTTATAAAATGTTAGTTATTTCCTCTAATGCATGGACTTAATAAAGCCTGCAGGGATGTGGTTTTTATTGAAGATTGACCAGATGGAAATTGGCATAAGTGATCAGTAATAAAATGCTAGGAATGATGGTATATTTTATTAAGTACATTGTGAACATGCTATAAATCATGCTTCAAATCCATGCAAAAATCTTGTGCTTTTTTTGATCGAGTTGTCTTTGCAGAGGGCTGGACCTGATGATCTCACAAGGTCCCTTCCAGCCCTAAACTTCTTTGAATCTGTAATAAATGTGTTCACCATGTTCTCATTATTCCATGATCCAATCTATGTGTTTTTAAAAAAAATGTAATTCTAGTTAATCATAGTTTACCTTTCATCTAATCTGAATCTTATTATTTTTACTTAGGTCACATATATCTCACTGAGGCATCTCGCTGCCTGTAAACTACATCCTTCCTTATTATCATTGAGCCATGCTCTATATGTGTGGTCCTTTTTAATCTTCCTTTCTAAATTGGTCCCTCCTGGCTTATTTTTGTCTCTGAATTCTCTCACAAAGCTCCTGAACTATTGAAATAAACTCACTGGCTAAGTACAGACAGTCAAAAAGCCTGAGGCTGAACTGATTCAATCTTCACAGGTTAGTCTAAATTGCATAGATTGAACCAATAAGCAAGTAAACGACATTCACTTGTGATTCTGGAAATGCAGCCACATGCCTGCAGTAGCCCAGGCCAGAAGCTGAGGCATGCTAAAGCATGCCTTCCTGCTCAGCTGGAACAGACAGCTTGGGTCAAGGCTAGCCTGCCCACCCTGGGGCGGGGGGCTTGCAGAGGAGATGCAAAGCATCCTGGGATGCTGGGGGTCTGTGAGTTAACTTGAATCTGGAGGGGATCTGAGACAGAAGTTCAATAAATGGATTTAACCTAAATCAGTTAAGTCTGATACTACATCCATCCAGGTTTATCTTAAACTGGTTTCGGACATTTGGAAAGCAATTTACATGCACCGAACTTCTGTTATGGATTTGAACCAGTTTCCTATCACATATACTGGTTTATGCATAATGTGTATCCCTTGCCATTAGAGCCAAATCCTGCTCCTACGACTGAAATCAGTGAGGTTTACCATTAAATCTAGTGAGGCCAGGACTTTATCAAAAGAGTTGCCATAAATGACAAGCTTGCATTGCATCACTTCTATTTTCTCCCTGACAGACTTGCACATGTGGTTGGCTGTTTTGAATGTGAGGGTGAAGATGATAAATGATCTAGTTCTCTCTGAGGTGTGCTGTACCCTGGAGTCCTGTTGACTACTGGAAGATGAAGGCACTCGGCACTTTTCTGAACAAATTGTAGATCCAGGACTATGAAAGCAGCTATGCAAGCTTTCTCTGTGTCTGGGCTACCTAAAAGGACCTTAATGAATGGAATCAGTCTGAAAATGTGTCAGACGAGTCTTCTCAGTTGGTTTGAGGAATCTGTTTTCCTATTCCAGTCCTGGGGTGTTTAAAATAGCATAATTCATATCAATAGATAACTCTGTGGCTAACACTGATCCCTTGTTAATCTACACCAACTGTCTAAAGGAAATTAAATTCAGCTTTTGAGAAGTAGGAAGGTCTTGATGTTAAGGCATTGGGCTGAGACCCAAGAGAATAAGGGTTTAATTTTTAGTCCTTCCCCAGGCTTCCTCTGTGACCTTGAACAGATCATTTAATTTCTCTGTGCTTTGGTTTCTCACCTGTAAAATTAGGAATAATGATGCAGCATTGGTCCAATGATCCAGTAGTCTTGATTATTTTTAGTTTGTAAGGAACAGACACTGCCTTCAAGAATTAGAAAGCCTTTCAATGTTACCATAATATAAGAGATGGTGATAAGATACTGGTCAGAGAATTAAATTAATCCAGATTGGGACTTGTAGTCTCGGATATAAATTATCGGCCCTACCTATTCAGTCCAATATCTAAAATGATTTTTTTTTTTCCTCTTGTTTTCAGGAAATGACAACAGTGAAGCCCTTCCTGAGTCTATCCCATCTGCTCCTGGAACATTACCTCATTTTATGGAGGAACCAGATGATGCATACATTATTAAAAGCAATCCCATTGTCTTGCGTTGCAAAGCCATGCCAGCTATGCAGATTTTCTTCAAGTGCAATGGTGAATGGGTCCACCAAAATGAGCATGTCTCTGAGGAAAGCATGGATGAAACTACAGGTAAGGAACTGCCTTATGGGACTGATGTGTTCATATTAAATTATATCCTGAAAACACTGCCTAACACCCAAATATGAAATGGAAATGAGAGGAGGCAATTGAAGGCAGAGAGACAACTTCGGAAGGGAAAAATAAAGAATAGAGGTTCTGGATAGCTTGGAAGTAGCACTTTGAAAAGACAGAAAGGGAAAGCAACACACGGGGTAGAAAAAGAATACAGCTTAATTGTAAAGCTCTAACTAGGTCTTCAGTTAAGCGCCTATTGATGCAGTTCATTTCACTAGGAGCAGGGATGGGCCCTGAAAAAGGGAGTGGCTGAGTGGTTTGATAGGGAGATATCATTCTAGGCATTTCATCTAAAGTATCTGCAGCATCAAGTAAAATAAGGGGAAATGTGCTTTCACATAATTCCTTGACCCCAAGGCTGCAAACAGACATCACCCCTGTGCTGCCAAGCAGATGTTCATGGTGTCACACTACAAATGACCAAAATGGTGGCCACAGCAATTAGTAATAATCCTTTTTGCTGCATTTTTCTGGCGGAGAGCGGTTTGCTTATGGCGTGGGAACACAGGAAGCCTGGGACTTCATGCCTCTGATCCTGGAACATGCATCTGCTTGTAGACATGCACCCTGGGAATCTTCCTGCAAGGGATTCACATGACACATGTATCATACTGCCACACTCACCTGCATGTGTGTTCCCTTGCTTGCAGACATGCACCCTGGGTTGGGTTGCAGCACCTGGAACCTTTATCCCATGGGGTCACACCTCTGCTACTCCTGACACTTCAGGGGCCTGATCCTGCTGGACAATGGCCCCAGCTGTCTGCACCACAAATCACACCTATCCCTAGGGCTTCAGGAACCTGATCCTGCAGCACCATGGTCCTGTGCAATGTATGTAGACACCAGTGAAGTAGATCAGCTATACCTGGACAGCACAGCACAGCTGATTAAGCTCCAAAGATGACATCTGTTTATACCTTAAGTATCTGGAATGAAGATTTGAAAGCTGCGGCAGTACCCTAGACTGCATGGCTTGAATGCTTTTTTTTTTTCTGTGATGGATATTTGGCAGCTAATGAAGTTAAGTGGGACAATTCCATCTTGTGAATGTGTATATCTGAAGAGCGGGCGAGTGAAAAGAGGAGAGAATGGTGAAAAATGATCAGCAGATTTTATCATGCTCCCAGCACATTCTATATCCTTTCTCATTTAGAGGCATCTTGATAAGTATTGCAAACCAATTTAATGCTGCACCCTCTTGTAATTTCACAATTCGGTTTTGTTATTGCCTTCCTCCTTTTTTTAAATTCTAAGATTGCTAGGCAACTCCATGACTTGGAAATACGAGTGTGAGTATAACATCCTCTCTCTCAGTATAAGAAATTCCTCTTGTGGGGGGAGAAATGTCATTTAAAATGAAGTTACATATCCTTAAGTGACAGTGGTGTTTGGTATTCACACATAAGTGACAGATTCTGAAGAGATTATATACTAAAGGCTTTTGGTTAATGCTATTCTGGATGAATTTAAATTTTTACAGTTACCTTTTTTGAAAAGAATTTAATAGGCATAACCTTTAGTTTGAAAGGCATTTCTGAATCAATATAGAAGAAATGTCGTCCGTAAATGTTTTTCTTCCATATGGTTAATGAAAATCTGACTTCTGAACATGGCAATTATGTTTTCGAAGCCTTGGATTAATAGCAAAATAAAATAAAATAAAGTAACATTTGTTTTAAAAAAAAAAAAGAAAGAAGAAAAGAAAAAGTACTAGTAACGTTGAAGTTTGAGACCTGGTGGCTCAGGCTATTGGGAGTGAGGTATGGAATAGGATAGAAAATAAATGTGGGTTCGAACTGACCAATTTTTTTTACTGTCTAGAAGTGAATATGGTCAGACAATTTAGTGCATCATGAAATCTACCATTGTAATGCTGCCTAGACCCCTACAGAAGACATACAAAAGACAAGTCCTGCTAAAGGGTGCATGCAGTAAGCTGATGAAGTATAGCCATGCACATTCTCTCTTGGGAATATCCATATACTAAATCATAACTCCTCTGAGACAGATGAAAAACTAGCCTTTTCATTTGTTTATATCTGGTTCTTCAACATTTAATATGGGGAGGAGGGGAAGGGGACATTTCTTTAACAGCTGTGAGTACAGCAATAAAATCTAGTGAAAGTTTTTTGAATTATTTATTTCCTGCTACCTTTGTGAACTGGGGTAAAATACCAATTTTCATAAATGCTCAAGTTCCACTGATATTCAAAATTTTACTCCGGCTTTATTTATTGATCTGTACTATAATGCAGATGACTGGATATGATTTCCAAGGACTGGCATTTTATGCCTCTTCCACAAAATAGTGCCTGTGGAAAATCCTGTTTGAAAGATGGAAAGGGGCATTCTGATTATTTCTGGAATTATAGTCACAAGATGGGTGGGAAAATGTATATTACAAAAGTGTTTATGGGTGTGCCATGAATGCTGGCTAGTAATTCACACACTCTAATCTACATGACTGTATTTTCATATTTCTTTTGGAGTATATCAAGGAGATACTGGCACATTCATTGCTGCCAGAGGATTCTTTATATACTGATTACAATATTGGCTAATATATGGAGAATGCATTTAGTGCAAAACCTTAGGTCTTTTTGTCTTTACTCAAAGCTGAATCTATTTTTGAAGTATACAGAGCTTGTGATTATTGTCTTAGGGTACTGACAGTTGTATTCATTGGTCTTAGTATATTGTAGTCTATTTTTATTAAAGTACATTTTTAACTGTTGCTAGGATGAAGTAATTTTAACCTTGATTAATCATTATCTGTGTGCATGCGTCTGTGTATATATACACACACACACATATACATACAGATATAAATATGGGTACTAATTATGCCTGTGCGAAGCAGTTAGTATTCACCTCAGATTCAGTTTAGGCCAATTTGGGGGACAGTGATTCAATTCAGTGATTTGAATCACTGTCCTGAATCGATTTGGCTGAATCTGATTCTGAGATTTGGCTCCATCCCCCTGCCCACTCTCAATGGCTGCCCCACCTGCTCTCCCAGCTCCTGGCTCTTAAAAAAAAAAAAAAAAGTCTGCACTCACCAGATACTGCTAGGCGAGGGGGGGCAGGGGGATGTAATCTCAATTGCCCCATGGCCCCATGGGGGGCTTTGCCATGACCCACCCCACTCATGGCTGCCGTATGCAGCCCAGCTCCTGGCCCTTTAAAAAAAAAAAAAGTCCTGACTCACCGGCTTGTGCCAGGAGGGGTGATCCCTGCTGACCCCTTCTTAAAGGGTCAGGAGCTGAGGCTGGGGGGGTAGCCATGGGTGGGGGCTGGGAGAGTGGGAGGGAGTCAGGGGGCTTCTGGCAGAGCCCCCCACATGGCGTGTGGCAGTGGGGGGCAGTGGGGATCACCTGCCCACCTGGCAGCACCCAGTGAGTAGAGGCTTTTTTTTTTTTAAAGAGCTGGGAGCTGGAGCCAGGCAGTGCAGCCATGGGAAGGGGGCTGAGAGAGTGGGATGGGGGAGGGGGGCACTCAGTTGGGCTGGGGGAGCAGGCAGGAGATGGGGCCTGGCAGGGGTCCCCCCATGGTCCCTTCCCCTGTCCTCCAGCTCCCCGCCCTGCCCCCTACTTATCAGCACAGAATCCACGTCCAGCTCCCTGCTGCAGCCAGCGGGGACTGCCCAGATCACCGAAGCTCTCTGAATCTTTTCCAAATCAATTCAGAGAGCTTTGAATTAATTCAGACCTTTTAAATCATCTCCTGATTTGATTCAGATTTGGAGATTCAGCCACCAAATTGGGCCAAATCTCCGCTGAATCGAATTAGCACCCAAAACTTTGCATAGCCTTAGTACTAATGAGGATATCTGAAAATCTATGATGGGTCACAAATGGAATTTCCAGTTCCAATTTCTGATGTTCAAACCTGAACAAGATATTGGTGGCTCCAGTGATTTGTCCTAGTTCTTACCTTAGTGACTTTTTCAAGGCTTAGATGGTGGTGAGACCATTACCAGCAGGCTAACAAGGCACTTGGGATGTTGAATAGTCTCCAGTTCTGAAGAGCAGCATTTGAAATCATGATAGGAGTAAACCCAAGGTTCAAGGATGTGTCTCTCTGGTATTTCATGTGAAAGTACGTCACACAAAATGTAAGCGGTTCCTTGTCTTCCCACCTTTATGCTAGCAGCTGATATTTAAATTGCTGAAAGGATAAACAACACAAATATGATGAAAAGAAACCCCAAATAAAAGGAAATTTAGTACTAAATGCAAGGAATTTATCTCAGCATCTCTATAGATTCCTCCCAGCAAGCTCCTAGCCAGGTATACACAAAAAGCACTAGGCAGTGGTAGAAAAGGCACAATGATGCTGATGGATTTTATCTACAGCTCATTATCAGTTTGGTATAAAAGGATAGGAAGAACAGCTGCTAATAGGCAATGGCTTATTTTGGCACTGTGGTGAATATTAAAAAGAAAAATCCAAGGTTTTGTTTTTATAAAGCAGGAA